AGTTTATATTAGTCATCAACATTTCTGACATTTTAGAAAGAAGTTGGTACAGAATAATTGCCTGTGGAGATGTATTTTAAAGCCATGAATTTCAAAGCATAATCACTTACCTGACAACCATAGCCCCTAGTTTGAAATTAAGATTACTTAAGATTACTTAATCATAATTACTTTTAATTAATTACTTTATTTGTGTTAATCTCTTCATTTGTTTTTCTGCATCAGGTACGGCCAGACTTCTTACTCCTGCGTACTATTGCCCTTGGCCTGATTATGTGGGACAATGTCTTGCCAACCTCTAAGTGGATTGAGAGTCATGTTCCATCGACCGTCTTGACACACGTCCACCGAGGAGGAAGTCAGTCAACTCCAGGCATCGATTACGAGTCCATGCATCAGGTATAGAGGGTCGAGAGATGGCTTGTGCTTTTGTTTTGCTCTTTATTTTTTCTTCCTTTCTTTTTTATTCTTTTTTGGCTTTTGTTTTCAAAAGGTTGTTGTGATAAACAGGAAAATGTTTTCATTTTATTGCAGTTCCATTAAAGACTAGGAATGTCAGACTGAAGAAAATTGAGATGGCTTTACTCAAAGCCTTTGTTTTTCCACATCACTAATGTGCTCAGGAATTTATATATGCTTTTATCTTTTTTTATACAGGCCTATTATAATATACTTGCTGGTGCATGCATGGTTATTGGACTGAAATTTGCTGGTTCAGCTAATAGTGAAGCCTTCCAGATCTTGTGGAAATACACTAGGATGTTCACAAGTTTCACCAAGAGGTATGTCATATCTTGTGTCATTTCCTACAACTGTTTTTCTGTCTACTCCTCATATGGTATTTCTTGTTCATATACTCATATATGCACATATGTGTGTTTGTATTTATGTATATTTGGTTATTGTCTTTCACTAAATATTATATAATAATGATATTACAATTGGAGTATGTACTCTTTTGCTGTATTCTTTCTTTATGAATACAATTTTGCCTTTTTACAAATAAGATGTTAAAAATTAGTAAAATGTTGCAGAATGCATTACTATACTGTAGTCTAGATAGATTAGCATTTACCAAACGCACACACACTTCATCAAATCCAGGAGCGTAGCAGAACTTGCAGGAAAGTCGACGATTGAAACGTGTCTGAATGTGATCCTGCTGAGCCTGTCGATGGTGATGGCAGGCACAGGCGACCTTGATGTCCTGAGAATTATCCGTTATTTACGGTCAAGAGTAGGCCCGTCCAACTCGACTGTTGGGTTAGTGTGGAACTCCTTTTTTGTGAATGTTATTTTTTTATTATTATTATTAACATGATAATGTGTATATATATATAAATATTTTTTTCCTCCTCCTCTTCCTCCTCCTCCTCCTCCTCCTCCTCCTCCTCTTCTTCTTCTTCTTCCTCTTCCTCCTCTGCCTCTTCCACCTCCTCCTCTTCCTCCTCTTCCTCCTCCTCCTCCTCCTCTTCCTCCTCTGCCTCTTCCCTCCTCCTCCTCCTCTTCCTCCTCTGCCTCTTCACCTCCTCCTCCTCCTCCTCCTCCTCCTCCTCCTCCTCTCCTCTTCCTCCTCTGCCTCTTCCACCTCCTCCTCCTCCTCTCCTCCTCTCCTCCTCCTCCTCCTCTTCCTCCTCCTCCTCTTCCTCCTCCTCCTCTTCCTCCTCTGCCTCTTCCTCCTCCTCCTCCTCCTCCTCCTCCTCCTCCTCTTCCTCCTCTGCCTCTTCCACCTCCTCCTCCTCCTCCTCCTCCTCCTCCTCCTCTTCCTCCTCCTCCTCTTCCTCCTCTGCCTCTTCCACCTCCTCCTCCTCCTCCTCTTCCTCCTTCTCCTCTCCTCCTCTGCCTCTTCCACCTCCTCCTCCTCCTCCTCCTCCTCCTCCTCCTCCTCCTCCTCCTCCTCTTCCTCCTCTGCCTCTTCCACCACCTCCTCCTCCTACTACTCCTCCTCTTCCTCTTCCTCTTCCTCTTCCTCTTCCTACTCTTCCTCTTCCTCTTCCTCCTCCTCCTCCTCCTCCTCCTGCTCCTCCTCCCCATTTTCATCACCATCATTACCTCTAGATTTTTTTTTTCTGTGTTGTATCAGAGCCTGATGTTGGCGACCATATTTAAATTCATGGTTGTACCTTACCTCTTGTTATTACCACTTTGTATAATATATTCACCGATTCTCCTCCCAGGTATGGCTCCCACCTGACCATCCACATGGCCCTGGGGTTCCTGTTCCTCGGGGGCGGCCGCTTCTCGCTCAGCACGTCCAACATGGCCATCGCGGCCCTCCTCATCGCCTGCTTCCCAAAGTTCCCCACGCACTCCAATGACAACCGATACCACCTCCAGGTTTGTGCAGGGGGTAGGGAGTAGGGTTGTTATGTTTTTTGTTGTTGTTTGTATTATTGTATTTGAGGTAGGATTTATTTATTTCATTATCTGTAATTATTATTGTTGTATTTTGTATGATATCCTGTGGTAATTTTGCTTACTACTTGAAATTATTGAACACACAAGTAATGCATAGATGGCATACTTGGTGGGTATTTTTTTTACAGTACAGTTAGCTTATATTCCTCATGCATATTTCAGGCACTCCGGCATCTGTATGTTCTGGCGGCTGAACCAAGATTATTGATACCTGTTGATGTTGATACGGGGAGGCTCTGCCAAGTCCATGTATCGGTTAGGTGAGTTTCTGTTTGAAATTTCTCAGTTTTCTATAACCAGAGCAAGTTTTCTTTGTAATACAGTTTACTTTTTGTATGCACTGCCTCTGCACTGTCAAGTACTAGGCCTGATTTCACCAGTTTACCATTTTCTTGATTTTTTGGTAAAAAATAAGTTTTGTTTTTATTACCATTAGAATTGTTAATAATTTTACAATGAAGATGATAATGTTGGGAATAATGATAGTGATGTTAATATTGATAATAGTAGTATGAGAAATCAAAACTTTTCCTGAAAATTCAGGAATGGGGTAAACACAGGTTAGGTCAGGTAGGCTCATATATTAACTCCTTGGTAACCAAGTGGTTATGAATCCATCTATGTGTAAACAAAATTGAGAAAGCAAAGTTATGGTGGATAACACCTCTATTCAGCACCACAGAGTTAACTGTACCATGTTAAGCATAGATAATCATTACAAAAAGATTGAAGTTTGTGCATATTTGATCTCCTCATCCAGGTTCAAGGATACTGACCAGTACAGAAGTCAGACCTTTGAAGCCATGGCTCCACTCATGCTCCCCGAGCTCTCCAAACTCTCACAGGTTGTCATAGAAGAAGACAGTGCTAACCATCGATACTGGCCTGTATGGTATGTTTCACTTTCCTTAGCAATGTGTTTCTGATGAAGCTATAATTGAAACCGATTAAAGACATCTCTTATGTTGTGAAGATATTTATTCTCATTCATACCTTTTCTTTAATGCTTTAAGTTACTTCAAGCATTTAATGATATCCTTAGTAAAAGCAACCTACCTTAGCCATAACTGCAATAATAAAGACACCCCTTTTTTTAAAAAAACTTCTCATTTATTGATCTTTCATCTTATGTTAATGCTGGTATTGATTATACCTCCCTCGAACCCCAATAGGTTCTCGGCCCACAACAAGACATGGTCTGTTCTGGAGACGCTCTTGCGCTCTGGAGAAGGGCTGGCCGTCAAGCTTAAAGACGGGCGTTACCCCTATGGCGATGCGCCCTCCGGCTTCCAGGTGCAGTTGGCTCATCTTCTCACGCAGGACAAGTCTGCCCGATGGACCATGAAGGTAAGGAAGTTTTTTTCTTTGGTTTAACCCCTTCCCGACGGGTGACGCTGATAGGTATGAAAACAAACCACTCGAAAGCTGGCGTGCGGCGAGCCAAAGCGCGGTGAGCCAAAGCGCGGCGAGCCAGTGATTCAGGCTGATGTACTGAACTCACGTGCTCAAAGTCAGTGTGCTGCCTTTGTTTGCCAGAGCATAGATTTTTTTGTTTTGTTTTGTTTTCTTCACCCGTCACCATTGGGTTAAAGGTTATTAGTGCCATGAATTGTAGAATTTCCTTTTTTTCTTTCCTTTCATGTTTTAATAAGATAGAGGCGTGGTCACTTTTCCTCTTTTCTATTTATTCGTATATGTAATTTTTTTTAATTTTATTTTTTTATATTGATTAAATGATAATACAAACTCAGTCGGAAAGTAAGAAAATTTTATTCACATTGCATATAATTGGTTAATTTCCCCCTTATCTATAAACCTCTACATAGATGGCAAAAGCAAAAGCAAAACGTTAAATACACGAGGCACCTTGAGTATGGATGAGATCATTGAAGTTATATCACTTGTATGCTTGGGTGAAAAAATGGGCAAGTGCCAGGCTGGAAAATTTTCTGAACTTCTCTATCTAAAAATTTGCCAGCAGTAAGGTTCCATGCCTAGAAATGAACCAGCTTGAAGTTTTAGGCCTAGAAATGAACCAGCTTGAAATTCTAGGCCTAGAAAGTTGCCAGCTTGATATTCTAGGCCTTGTCATTTGCCAGCTTGAAATTCAAGGCCTAGAAATTTGCCTTGTCTAAAAATTGGCCAGCTAGAAATTCTTGGTCCTGAAATTGGCCATCTTATAGTCTAGGCCCCAGAACTTCCCAACTAGATGTTGTGAGCCTAGAAATTTGCAATATTGTAAGTCTGGTTCTGAAAATATGCCAGCTAAGTACTTAATAGTCTTGAAGTACATTTGCCCTAAAAGTTATTATTTTTCACTTGTGCTTTTCTGAATAGTAGTTTTAACTGCATTGCAACTATCTGTTTTTTTTTCTTCATTATTAAGCAGTAGCATCAGTCAAACAGGCAAGTTCCTTGATTACTGAGATCTTTGTTGTTGTCAGATATTTGGAGAAATATCATTTTAGGACCTAATAATTGTGAGTAGAAAGTTATGTGGCCAAAATATACATACCTTTACATCCATATATATATGTGTATGTGTGTGTGTGTGTGTGTGCATGTGCATGTACGTGTGTGTGTGTGTGCGTGTGCATGTGCATGTACGTGTGTGTGTGTGTTTTCATTTTACCACAAAAAAAATATTGCAAAGTAGTGTCCATATTATGGAGCCCACTGATTCAAGATTGCATCAATCCCCAGTAATCCTAATTAATGACATCAGATTTTAAATAATCCATTTAAATCCATGTGTGGTCAAGACAGACTCTGAAAAAAAAAAAAAATCCTCTAGGTTCTCATAGTCCAGGATTGTGAAATGTAGTCCCCTTAAAAACAGAAGATGTTGAAGTAGTCAGGGTCAAGGAAACGCAGGTTGATGTTCTTGTCGTTGCACCGGCCGGACACGTGCTTCAGGAGTGTGGCATTAGTAACAAGCCACTTGACACTGCAGTCGCATGCCAGGTCCTCATCTAGGAAGGAAAGTAGAGAGAGAAAAAGAATAATTATATTTATCACTTTTTTCACAAATTCTGTCTGAACAAGATGTAAGCAAGTCAGGAAACAGGAGCTCACAATTCCATGTGTACTGTCTTTGGTGGTCGCAAATGACCTTAGTGGTTGGTGCGGCAGAAAATACATTTTTAGTAAATAATAAAATATCACCAGTGGATATGGAAGACACCATTTGTTGATGATCATAGTATTGATGGGGTGTATTGTTCAAGTGCATTAATTGTGTCACTTTTACTAGCTCATTTCTTCATTGCAGAGATTTTTTGCAAAATGAAGTAAGGAGATTAAAAGATAAGGAAGAAAGTAAAGGCTAAAGCTAATGAAATATGTAGGAGACAATGAAAGGGAAATGCATAATCTACATATTTTGAATATTGTTCTTTTGAAAATTATATTCAGTAAATTTGACCAGTATGATTTATGACCCCTTCAGTTAAGTTTAGTCCTTTATTTACCACCCTGGCTAACTGCAAAGGCATGGGCAAGCTGTGGTACATTTGATGCATGGTCATAACATTATGTAGTGTTTAGTTTAGTTTAGTCCCTTATTTACCACCCTGGCTAACTGCACGTATATGAAACATGGCTGGCAAACACCCAAGACTTTTGTACAATATGAGGATGCTTTGAAGTGTTTTAGTTCAGGAGTCACCTTCATTATATAATTTATCCCATTCTTAACCCAGTAACAGCAACATTACAACCTTTACTAAGTACCATTAGGAAGGCCATATTTCTGAATTACACCTAATTGTTCGCGGGGTTACGACCAGTGGATAAAATAGATCAACAATGGTAACTTTTAAACCAAGCATATTATCTTTTTACATTGGAAAGAAAACAAGAAGAGAGAGATGTTTTAACTTACTTTCTAGCCATAGCTGAGGCTTCCCCCAGTCTATATGCACAATGTTCTTGCTGGCCATGTGCTGGAGGACGGCCTGGAACGACTGGTCTAGGCTGCGAAGGCCGGTCTCGCGCAAGTCCAGCCAGTAGGGAAGAGTGCCTGTGGGAGGAAGTGGGTTGTTAAAGAGAGGGAGAGGGGGAGGGGGAGGGAGAGGGAGAGAGAGGGGAGGATAGTTGTTGAGGATAGATCTAAGGCGCTGACAAAGATTTCACTATGTTGAAGAAATAGATTGTATTTTTTTTTATTATATCGGGTTTTTACATTTTGAATTTTTGCATAATTATTTTTCTGTCTATTCTTTGACCATTTCATCCCCAACTTAGAACTTCCCTTATTTCTCTTCCTTCCCTCTTCCCCCTCCCCCCTCCCCCCTCCCCCCAAGAAATGGAGAAAATGCATTAACAACCAAAATCTATCCCTCCCTCCCTCCCTTAAAAAAAAATCTGCTACTACCGCTACTACTACTACTGTTACTACTACCACTACTACCACTACTACCACTACTACTACTACCACCACTACTACTACTACTACTACTACTACTACTACTACTACTACTACTACTACTACTACAACACCTCACCATTGGTAAAAGCTGAAGATGTGAGTTCGGTGATGGGCGTGCGCCTGAGGTTGACAAACCAGGGGACGGAGGTAGGCGTGGCAAGGGCCGTCGGCTCGATCTCCTTCACGCCCGTGTAGCTCAGGTCCAGGAACTCCAGACTGTGGAGCCCACCGAGAAATCCTGCGGCAGAAGGGGTTACGATTTTTTTTATTTTTTTATTGGAGAGTGTGTCAGGGCAGGGGGGTTCATAAATAAGTTGATTATTGATAAGGGTAATATTAGATTTAAAGTTGTAATGTATAGTAAATCAGATGAAATAATTAGATGGTATTAGATAAGGTAGTGAAAAATATATTGAGAATTTTTTCATGCGAAATGGAGATTATTGTTGTAGTTACATATTATCATTATCATAAACATCATCATCATTTTTATTATTATTACTAATATTTATTTAATTCTAATTATCTATTGATATTATTTATTCATTTATTTACTTACATTTATTACATTTATTATTATTATTATTATTATTTTCTAGATCAATTAACCCACTGGCACCAGCACTGTAGCTTTGTTCTGTGAATTATGTGAATTATTTGAGATGGCTTCACAAGCATTTCATTTACCAAGGAGTCAATTATTAGGCCTACCTAACATCACCTGTTTACCCATTCCTTGAATTTTCCGGGAAAAATGTTCTCATTTCTGTTATCATTATTGTTAATATTAACATTAACATTATTATTGGTGGTATTGTTATTATTATAGCATTGTTAATACCAACTGTAATAGAAATAAAAAACTTTTATTCCCACACATTCAAGAAATAGGGTAAAGCAAGTGAAATCAGGTAGGCCTTGGAATTAATTTCATGATGACTAATCAGTTGCTGAGCCGTTTATTTGTCGACATAATTCTTAAGCTTAGAATCAGAGTTGACAGGGCATGTATACTTACCTTTCCTGATCCAGTGGGTTAACTAAATTAAATGAACTAATGAAAGAGTTTCGATTGATGAAAGAAGACAATGTTTGCGGGGAAGAAAAAGAAAACATGCTAATTAGGAAGAGAAGAAACGTGTGTGTGTGTGAGGATGATTCTTCATGAGGAAAAGAAGCACACTTGTGAAGCGGGGAAGAACTTGGGGAAGAACTGTACGTGCAAGGAAGGAGGATTTGTTGGGAAAATTCATCATGAAGAGAAGAAATCCTCTTGCAGAGAGGAGAAGAATATATGCCTTGTGAGGAAGGTTTATCATGGGGGAGAGAAGCAATGAATTGGTAAGGTAGGTCCCTCATGAGAAAGAGAAGTATATACACTTTTAAGAGTTAGCTTGAGGAAGAGGAGAGAAAAAATTGCATTTGTTTGGAAGATTTTTAGAGGAAGAAAGAAAATGGGAGGAGGTTTGTCATGTATTTGTGAGGAAGGTTGGTCGTGAGAAAGAGAAATGCACTTGTGAGATAGAGAAAAAAATGCACTTGTGAGGCAGACATTTTGTAAGGAAAGGAAGAAATGCACTTGTGGGGAAGGCTAGCTCATGAGGAAGAAAAGGAAATAGATTTGTTTGGAAAATTTGTGCAGAGAAGTAATCCTTGTGGAAAAGATTTATCATGAGGAAGAGTTTGCCATGAGGAAATGAAAATATTTTGGTAAAAGTTTATCATAATAGAAGATTTTTTTTATGAAGATTATTATTATTATGAAGAAAAAAGAGAGGAAGAAATACATTTTTGTGGGAAGTTGATCATGAAAAGTAACATAATGTTGGGAGAAAATTAAGTATCCTTTGTGAGAAAACTAATTTAGAGGAAATTATGAGGGTAATTAGGCCTTCTCCTCATATGGATTATGAGGAATAGAGGGAACTTTCTCTTAATGAGGGCTAGGTGGGGTGTAATCTCATTAGTTGCAAGGGAGAGAGAATACTGACTGTGAGTACTGTGAGGGAAAGAGAAGACAGATTTTACATAGTTAATGAGGTGGGCAAGGAGCTCATTTTGAGAAATAGTAGTTTCTGTAGATAAAACTGTGCCTGTTATGAGTATTGAGGAAGATCTGAGGTTGTGTTGACAGAGAAAAAGAAAGAAAGAAAATAAGAAAGAGAGAGAGAGAGAGAGAGAGAGAGAGAGAGAGAGAGAGAGAGAGAGAGAGAGAGAGAGAGAGAGAGAGAGAGAGAGAGAGAGAGAGTATTGGGGGGGAATTTGTATGAAGGAGTGACAACTGGTTATGGTTTCACATTTCAGATTCTGTGAATAAGGAACTTTAGGTTTCAGTGTTTTGTTGTTGTTTTTATGCAGGATTATATATAAATAGTAAAGAATTAGATATAAGAGTGGAAATATTTATACATATATATATATATATATATATATATATATATATATATATATATATATATATATATATATATATATATATATATATAATATGTATATATAAACGTAATGAGTAATAAGGAAGTCGTAATGGAAATGCATAAATAATGAGAGATGGGAGAAGGAAAAAAAAGAGAAAATTGAGGAAAGCTTTAAATGAAATGAAGTTAATAGATAAAGATCCAGTCAGTAGGGAATGGGAGATAGATGGCGGGAGAGAGAGAGAGAGAGAAATGAGAAGCAGTGGATTGGAGGAAAACAAAAACGAAAGAACCGCAGATGGAAAACAGAGGATAAAAAAAGCGCTTAGTCAAATGCAAAAGAGGGAAAACTGAAAACAGTAGATAAAGACAGTAGCGGGAAATGGGAAGAACAAAAAAACGGGAAACAGCGTTACGAAAGAAACAGGGAAAAACAGGAAACAGGGTAACCAGCAGAACGGAGGGAAAACAGGAGACAAACGCAGCACAGGCGCGGCGCTCACCGGCGGGCAGTGTGGTGAAGGCGTTGTCCCACAGCAGCAGCGAGCGCAGGGCGGGCAGCGCCGACAGCTGCGGCGGCAGCGCCAGCAGGCGGTTGGAGTGGAGGTCGAGGTGGAGCAGCGACGGGAGGCTGGTGAGGGCGCGCGGGTGGAGCGACTCCACGCGGTTGTTGGCGAGGCTGAGGTGGAGCAGCTGCTCGAGGCCGGACACGCCCTCGGGCACGGCCTCCACGCCGTTGTCGTCCACGGAGAGGTACTGCAGGCGGCGGAAGGCGGCCAGCTGCTCCGCCAGCGGGAACGCCGTCAGGTTGTTGTTGCGCAGGTCCAGCACGCGCAGCGTGGCGTGCGACGAGCGCAGCGCGTGCGGGGACACGCGGGCCAGCGCGTGGTTGTACTTGACGTGCGCGTGCGTGAAGCTCACGTTGCCGAACGAGTCGTCCTCGAGCGCCGGCAGCTCCGAGCTCATGACGACCAGGCGCACCACCGCGTCGCCGCCGCCGTCGCCGTCGGGCGGGGCGGCGGGCGGCGGCGGCGACGCGCGGAAGCCCTGCACGACGGCGCGCGGCTCCAGCGCCATGGAGCAGTCCACCACCACCGCCGCGCCCGCGTCCGCCACGCACACGCACGGCGGCCCGCACGACGACGACGCCCGCCCGCCGCGCCCGCGCGCCCACCCCGCCCACGGCACGCGCCCGCCCCGCCAGGCGCCGCTGCCGCCCACCACCGCTGGAGACTCAGCGCCCGCCCACGCCGCCCACGCCACGACCGCCGTCAGCACGCGCAGCCTCATCGCCTCCGCCGTCCCGTCGCTGTCGCCTCGCCGGGCGGGCCTCGGGTCGGGCGCGGACGGGAATGCCAGGGAGCGAGGCGCCCGACGCTCACGCTTTGAGAGGCAGGCGCGCCCGCGAGGTCCTGGAAGCTCTGAAGGTGTGAGGGGGGAGGGGGAGGGGGCGCTGTGTGAGGGGAGGGGCACGGGGGGCACAAACACACCTGACAGACAAACAAACAAACGAAGGGAGGCGAGGGCGAGTGAGCGGGCATGCGAGGGAGTGAGAGCGAGTGAGCGGCTCACCCTGGCGCCAGCTGGAGTCAACTGCCAAGGCGGCCCTCGCAGGCGCTCTTATCACAGCCGCCCGCCCCCCCTCGGCCTCTTGCGCTCCCCCCCTCCTTCGGTCCCCTCCCCCTCCCCCCTCCTTCGGTCCCCTCCCCTCGGCCTCCTTCGGTTCCCCTCCCCATCCCCCTCGCCCTCTCCCCCTCCCTCCTCTCCCCTTCTTCCCTCTTCCCCTCCCTCTCTTCCTCCCTCTTCTCCCTTCTCATTCACACCTCTTTTTGTACTTTCTCTCTCTCCCCTGCACACCCTTTCTTTCTCTCCCCTTTCCCCCTTTTCTCTCCCTTTCCCGCCCTTCCTTTTCTTTCTCACCCTCTTCCTTCTCTTCCCACTTCATCGCCCGTTTCTTCACACACCCTTCCTTCTCTCTTACGTGTTTTTTTTCTCTCCTTCCCTTTCTTTTCCTTCGCACCCTCTTTCTCTTCTCTTCTTCCCTTCTTCCTCTTTCACACTTTCCCTTCCTTATTCGTCTATATCTCCTCTCCCTCGCGTTCTCTACCCTCCTTTCTTCCCTCTCTTCGTTGTACTCTTTCTGCTTATCCACCTTTCTCCTTCCTCTCTGTTCTTTGCTCTCCCTTCTCCTCCTCCTCCTTCCCCCTTTCCCTTCCTTTCTCCATGCTTTATTTCACTTACCCACCTTTCTCTCGTCCTTTATTTCTCTCCTTCTCTCCTTTTCTCCTCTCCTTCCAACTCCCACCTTCCTCTCATTTGCCTTGTTTCTCCATTCTTCTTTTCGTTATTTTTCTATCTTTCTCTTTTCATCCCGAATTCTCCCCCTTTTTTTGTTTCTTTCATTTATCATTTCCCCTTCCCCCCCCCCCCATTTCTTTCTGTTTTCTTTATTTATTTATCCCCCCCCGTGTCTTTTCCTGTTATTGATGTTTGTATTGTATTGTGTTTGTTATTATAATTATCATCACTATCATCGTCATCATCATTATTAGTAATAGTAGTAAATTGTTAAACCAACCATGGTTTTCTGAATCACTGTCAACATCGTCGTCGTCATCGCCATCGCCATCGTCATCGTCATCGTCATCGTCATCATCATCATCATCATCATCATCATCATCATCATCATCATCATATTTATGGATATATATATATTATATACACACATATATATATTTTTTTTATGTAGAAAATGGGGGTTTTATATCCCCACGTGATTTTTTCTTCTTCATAAAATTATATTGACTGGAAGCATTCGTAAAAAAATGTCAACGTTAGTGTTTAAAAAAGTTAGCGTCACCGAGATTTTCAAGATGTTGCTAGGAAGCCCATTACGTACTGCCGATTTATTTTTATGTTATTGTCGTGTTGCATTTCTTACGAGAGAGAGTAAAAAGAATGCAATATTCGTAAAAAAAAATGGCGGGCGATTTCCTTTTGGTAGATGTGGTCCCGGATAATCACGGATATTTCTGGCAGGATTGGGTTAAAGAAACCTCTGTCACCATTGGCCAAAATAAAACAGAGCCAACGTCGGTCTCTATTCCGTAAGAAAAGAAAAAAATGAAAGACGAAAAAGAAAAAGTAAAGAAAGGAAGAAAGAAAACGAAATCGCATTTTTCGAGTGATACGAAGCGCGGGAAATTCGAAAGTGAAATGTCCGGGTTTTTTTTTTC